TTCCTATTTTGTTATATATTTTTATGATAAGAAACATTGGAGATCAAAGTGTCTCTATTATGCAGCACTACATGTCGTGCAAGTATTATGATCTTTTGTTGTGTCGAAAAGCCAACGAATCTTCAATTTCTCTATAATTAATTAAAAAAAATATTTTGGTGCTTCTTACATGTTATTTTATTTTATATTGGTGTAAAAATACTAGATATTTAGATTTTAGAGGGTGCTTAATGGTTCGCAAATTAGGTTTATGTGACTCAAATTTTAAAAAATTGAGTATATATATATGTGTGTGTTTTTTTAATGGAAAAAACACTTCTTTAAATAAAATAGAGTATATAATTTAGAAGCGTAACTTAATAAATATCTATTATTAGTGGAGATCAAAGATTTTATTTTGAGGCAAAAATTAATATATACATAATATGAAAATAATAATTTTAAGTTTGAATTTGACAATATATATCAAATCTCTACCTTGTGGTAATCTTTACTTTAAACTTAAAAAAAAATGTTGTAAATTTTACTTTGAAAGTATCATGATATGTACTATCATGTAAGAGAGGTTATGAATCAATTTTTTTTAAGCAAATTAAGAATTAGAAAGAAACGGAGTTTTTTGAGACATCATAGATCCATGTTGTTGAGTTCTTAAGCTTTCATGTCTACAACTCAGTTCATCTTATTGTTACTGGCGTGAACCTAATCCATAATATAAACCATAAAATAGAATACCGATTAAACCAATCACATAAATACCAATTACAACACCTATTATATCTAAAGAGAAATTCTTCCTGATTTAGACTTGAAGTTAAGATTCGGTCGTGCAAAGACATGATTTAAGAGAGGGGAGATGAAGCTAGCAGACCAATGTTATTTTGTTCTTTAGATATATACTATATGTTATTTAATAAAAATTTAGGGGCACACTCCCTTTGTCGCTACGTGGATCTACCCCTATATATTACGATCTTAATGGTTGATAGTTCAATACCCTCGTAATACTATGGAGTATAATCTAGAATCACTAATTAACACGTGTGCTACTATTTGGTATATTGGAAATTAATTTATTAATTACTTACGTAATATTTTATCTTAACTATATTAAATATGCAACTACATGAAAAGAATAACAATATATGAAAAGTGACAAAAATGTTGAGTGGAGGAAGATTTTAGTGGGCCTTACTAATTAGGAGAATATTGAAAACTTAACTATAATAGACCAATCATGGGCTCCAACTTGGGCCTCTTAAATTTTTAATTTTAGAAACAAAATATTTTTCTAAAATTTTTGTGAATATAATAAAACTAATGCATTTTCTTTTAATCCCAACAGAAAAATTAAAACCTTTTATTCAAAACGCACTAAACCCCACTTGCCTAATTTGCCACTTAAATCCAATCTCTTAAATTTTGGCTCATTTTTTTTTGTCTTTTAGCTTCATCCAATTGAGAAATGTGGATCACATATTCGAAAATACAATCCCTCTTCCTTTTGGGAAAAAGAAAAAATCCTCTGCCTCTATTAATATTTAGATACAGAGAAGATATATTATTTTATTTTAGACCTTATATTATTCTTAAATGTTGCTGACATGACTTATCACAATAAATAAGATACGAGAAATTCTCCATGTTAGTAATATACGAAAGATTTTCCCTCGAGTCAAGCAAAATTATTAATTAAACTAATACATATAGTAAAACTAAATTTTATATTCATTTAATGATAAGTTTTTAAACCATCTTTGTACTATAAACATGTATATATGGTTTAAAAAAATTAATGACATGTTTTAAAAAAGAGGAACATGTTTCCTAGAGTCATACAGGCAATGGATCAAATATGAATATATATATATTTTTTTTTTAAATTAGTGGGGGAAGAGGGGTAGTTTTGACATTGTGCCAATTCGATGCAAAATCATCGAATTCATCATGTACAATGACGTCATGGGAAATAATGTGGTATTTTAGAGGTTCAAAAACTTCTATAATTGTGAAAACGAGAGCTCCTATTAAAATATGTTGATGATCTTAGCTAATAGTTTTGAATTTGATAGATTTTATTGGTGTTGATTAAATAAACAATTTATTGATCATATGAGGATAATGTAACAATTATATTCATAGGTAATGTGTGCACGCTCTCTTTTTTAGTAAAAAAATTAAGTTGGCGTTGACAACCTATGAAGCATATTAATTGAGATTGTGTTCGATAATTTGTCTTTTATTATCATATTAAAAGTAATTTTAGTTAATTATAAATATTTAATTTTTTAAATAATCTTTGGAGTTTAAAAAGTGCTTTTGAAAGAGATATTAAAGAGTAGGTTCAAAAGTTTGAAGTAGTGAAAGTATTTTTCAAAGAAAATGATATATTTGTTTATGGAGCCCATAGTATTTTTCCGAAATTATATAAAATACACTTAATCAATATCTTAAAACCAAATTTCAAATAGATTTATTTTGAATCATATACTATTTCTTGCCTAGTGTGTAATGTAAACTATTTACTTACTATGAACAATCTCTTTGCAAGTAATCAATTCAAAATATTGATAATACATTATGAGAAAAAAATTCGTAGATATGGTATATTATTCCACTAATGTGCAGTAGAATTGATTGAAGTCTCTAAAAACCATTCCCTGTAGAGTGAAAGAAAAATTGCTTAGTCAAAAGACTCATAATTTTTTATAATAATGAAAGGTGACTCAACATTCATCTTCTTCACAACGTCAGGATAAAATTGATTAAGATATACTTATGTAAATTAACATAACTAGGATAACTGCTCTAATCCTCTATCTACTTTAATATTTTTCTACGGTTTGAAACATGACAG